TATGACTGATCAAGTCAAGAAAGGAAATGTGACTATTGAATATTGTCCAACTGAAAAGATGTGGGGAGATTTCATGAGCAAACCTCTACAGGGACAAAAGTTCTTGGAATTCAGATCATTGATCCAACGAGAACCAGATTAGGAGCAACGCAATTTCCTTTGATGTTCTGTTGTCATCAACTATGTTAATGAAACGGCAGGAGTGTGTTGGATATATTAGGATTTTCGAAGTACATATTTGGAGAAACGAGAAAAAGAGAATACATGTAAACGATAGAGAAAAGATGTCGACTGATACGACTAAAAATGAAGACTGATACGACTAAAAATGTTGCGCGTGGCGAGTCAGAAAAAGGGTCATATTTTTATGGAAATCATCTTGTTGATGATGTAAGAAATCAAGATTCAAGCAAGAACCAAAGTTGGATACTAATCAAAGTACCGACTACAGTGGAAGGTGAACGAATAAGCAGATTGAACTTGCAGCATATCAGGCTGACGTAGAGAGAATTCTGAGAATTTCCACTGAGCTGGAGAAGAAAGAGTCAAAGTCAAAAGTTGACAGATTGTTCTCACTTTTTATAATATATTGCAAGCAACGAGTGAATTGGTTGATAAAGTAGAATCTCTGATAGATCTATATACTTCTATATACTGTAAATTCGCATACTTAGAAGGCAACAATACCTGGACAGCTAAATTGCAGTCAATTGAACAGGTAGATTGCAGGCGGCAGTGGAACGCTTACTTCTAACACAAGTAGCCTAAGTATTTAAAAATTGTTGAGTTGCGAACTCAGATTTGGGTAAATTAACTTTAAGGCCGGCTTTGTGGAGTCGTTGGAGACATAGTTCTAGCCGTTGAAGGTGGTCTTCAAAGTCACCCTTGGTGACACAGAGGACGTCGTCTAAGTATGTTAAGATGTCGCTGAGGCCTTCAATGAGGCGTTTCATAGCTTCTTGAAAAATGTAAGCCGAGGGCATTGCGCCCACGGGCAGTTTTTGGTAACTATATTTGCCCCAAGGTAAGATGATAGTGAAGAGCTTAGATGACTCGGGGTGCTGAAATATTTCAGGCCAAAAGATTGGCCAAACCAAGACTAGATAGCGCAACTATTTTAATGCTCACAATTTCATTATCAACTGATATCAAATCCCCTTTGATCTAGGTTAAGTCATATTGAAAAAAAATCTAGTCTTGGTTTGGCCAAGGAATATGGCCTGAAATATTCAGTAACGGTGCTGAAATATTTAGTAACGATCGGAGTACTTAGAAGGGCCAATAATAGTTAGGCCTGAAATATTGAGTAACCGATAGGAGTATTATAAAAGTGTCTGATGAAAAGATCGTAAGATTCGTCGTCTGCTGGAAGAACGTTGGAAGTCTGGCCAGATGACCAACGGTCTGTAGAGAGTACGTCAAGATCAGTTCATTGAGGAAACAATGAAGACCGAATTTACAGAAAGAGAATCTCGAATAATAATGTCATTGTGGGGTAACGTCAAAGCCGGAGCTGCAGCTGCTGCAAACAAGGCCGCTGACGCCACCAAACTTGCTGGTCACAAGACCAAGCTGAAGGCCGACCTTGTCTTTTGCGACCGCGAAACCAGCAATTGTAAGAAGGCGTTCGGTGTCAGTATGTACGATCACATTAGTCCGCTCTCGCAGACCGCCGATTTCTACGCTGCGCACGACGATTTGACGGAAATCCTTCGCCCATCCCTTATTATTGCGCAAAAGGAAATCCAGGCTCTTGCTGCCAAACGGGTTAAGCTGAAAGAGGACCTAGCAGCCGCTGAAGCACGGCGGGCCGGAGCCTTTCCAACACCAGCCGAGACGGCAGGGCAGAAAGTACTCAATTTTGGTAAGGCATCAGCCATGCACTCTAATGAAACGAAAATGAAGGCAGAAATATCCATGCTGGACGCTCGCATCAAAGGATTCAAACAAGATTTTGGACTCAGCCTCTTCACAATCTTGGCAGAAGCAGAAGACACGCGCGGATATCTGCCTTCCGACAGGCAAGTCAGAAGCATCTATGACCAAACCCGACAGGACATCAACAAGCTTCTAGCTAAAAAAGAAAAGAAATCTGAAGAGCTAAAGGCCCTCAGTGGTGGTAATTCTGAACTTTCCAGTCATAGAAACAACTCGACGCAGCAGCAAAAGAACGGGGGCTTCTCCGATAACTTACCATCGAACGCCAACCATACAGGCACACTTTCAAACAGTAAGGATCCAGACCTTTTGATGCTCTAGCATTAAGTCGTCATGTTTTAACCTGGTGCAAACCATATACCATCGGATAATCCTTTAACCGATCACGCACTGGTGACAAGTTATCAACAATTCATTTGAAATGATAGACAATAATTTACTGTACTCTAATCATTAGGGATGGACGTTGAAAATCCGGGACACCCGTACCAGACTCCGAAGACTCTTTCCAACTCTTGTTTGACTTTTGAATCCACAACTTTTCTTTCTTCGCAATGCGCTTGCCGGCAACAAATCAAGTTGAACCAAGCGATTGCTCATCCTTCTCGATCGCTTTGGATTTTGCAGACTCCAATTGGGCCTAAAAGAGTTTCAATGATGTTTTTGGGCTGCACAGTTGTTACTAGCTGTTGGCCCCCAATCCCCCAGCGCAAGCGCTGGTTTCCTCCAAGGGTGAGGTGGGACTAGGGTAATCTTAATAACTATCTATTCCTAGACTTCAAATTCACTCTGTCAAATA